CCCCCCCCCCCCCCCCCTCACTAATTTTAAACGAGTCTTTAACTTACTGTGTGTGAGAATCTGTAAGTTTTTTTTCTGACTGAAAACTGTAGTGCAGCAATTCCTAGGCTTTGTGGGATGGTGCAGATTCTAGTGAGAGATGGCTGTTTGCTTTTTTTGGGGCAATGGGTTACATTTCAGGGTTGCAAAGTTTTTTTTTTTTTCTCAGTTGAATTGTGATGCTTTATAGGAATTCTGTTGTAATAAAGAACGTTTTCACTGACGTTCTTCTACAAATATCCTTTCCTGTAGTGGCTGTGGTATTTATATTGTAAACTTAATTTACAACTGGTCATGTATCAAGTGTGTGTGACTGAGAGGGTATCTTCAATGCACTGTTTCAGGCTTGGGTTTCTTAGTAAGATCAGATGAAATTTATATTTGTGCTTTAATATTTTGTGTTTTTTTCTATGTCCTTTAGGTCAGAATGTGAAACGTGAGTCTGGAAGAAAAGTCCAGACTGGAAACATCACTGCTGCTAAGGTACCATCTTCTCATGTCAGGCTATTTTGAGTCTTTTCTTTTTTTTTTATAGTGCGTATTTGTGTATATATATACACACGTATTTATATATTGAAGGGGGAAAATCGGATCTGAAACACGTTTTCTCTAGTCTGGGTGAATCCAGAGTAGAAGAAGCGTAGAACATGAATTTTCAGTGTTAAAATAATAGATGCAATGTAACTGAACGTGGTTTAACCTTCGAAAACCTCCTCCTCTGCAAAATCTGAGCGTGTGTAAGTTGTGACGTCTGATGTAGTTAACTTGGTGTGGTGCTGGTGCTTTTACCATCCCTCAGTTCTCATTCCCACACAATTCTTAACTTCTGCTGCATCTGAGCAACTGCGGAGTCGTTGGGTCACTTAAATTTTGCAGTGGATGCTTGTTTTGTACAGACTATGGGTTTGTTAGACTTTTTGATGCCCTCCTGTATCGCCTGACTCCTTTTCTTCCTCCTAGACTATTGCTGACATTATCCGAACATGTTTGGGACCAAGAGCTATGATGAAGGTAAGATGTTTTCCTCCAAGTCCTGTGCTGCAGGGTGATGACTGGAAGCACCGCACACGTTACGAGTCAGTGCAAATATTGCCTTTTTTTTTTTTAATTGCAGATGCTTTTGGACCCTATGGGTGGGATTGTGATGACCAACGATGGCAACGCTATTCTTAGAGAAGTAAGTTTCTCCTTAATGATTGTCTTGATTAACATGTGAGTTGGAATCCTGCAGGATACCGTTACGTTGCTGCCAGTGGAACTATGGTATTTCATCTTGTGTCTCAAGAGCCAGCAGAGAGGTCATCCTGCCCCTCTGCTCTCGTGAGACAGCACGTGCAGTACTGTGTCCAGCTTTGGAGTCCTCAACGCAGGAAGGACATGGAGCTCTTGGAGTGGGTCCAGTGGAGTCAACAAAGATTATGGGAGGGCTGGAGCCCCTCTGCTGGGAGGACAGGCTGAGAGAGTTGGGGGGGTTCAGCCTGGAGAAGAGAAGGTTCCGGGGAGACCTTGGAGCCCCTTCCAGTCCCTCAAGGGGCTCCAGGAAAGCTGGGGGGGACTCTGGATCAGGGAGGGGAGCGATGGGACAAGGGGGAAGGGTTTGAAGCTCAAAAAGGAGAGATTTAGGTTAGATATTGGGAAGAACTTGTTTATTTTGAGGGTGGTGAGAGCCTGGCCCAGGTTGCCCTGAGAAGCTGTGTCTGCCCCATCCCTGGAGGGGCCAGGTTGGACGAGGCTTTGGGCAACCTGGGCTCGTGGGGGGTGGCCCTTCCACTAGAAGGGATGGAACTGGATGAGCTTTAAGGTCCCTTCCAACCCAAAACATTCTGTGATGCTCTGGCGATTCCACTATTTCCTTGGGTTGGAGGGGACCTCCAAGTTCATCAAGATCAACCATCAACCCACCACTGACCAACCCACCACTGCCCCGTGTCCCTCAGCACCGGCTTTTAGATCCCTCCAGGGATGGTGTTTGGGGAGTGGAGCCATAGGATGAGAAGGAACAGTTTTAAACCAAAAATGAGGAGATTGAGCTGAGATGTGGGGCAGAAGTTCTTTAGTGTGAGGGTGGTGAGAGCCTGGCCCAGGTTGGCCCGAGAAGCTGTGGCTGCCCCATCCCTGGAGGGGTTCAAGGGCAGGTTGGAGGGGCCTTGGAGCAACCTGGGCTGGTGGGAGGTGGCCCTGCCCAGGGCAGGGGGGGAACTGGATGAGTTTTAAGGTCCCTTCCAACCCAAACCATTCTATGATTCTAAGTACTAAACAGCAGGACTAAGAGGGCTGTTTATTGGGGAGGAATTATTTCCAGCAAATGCTATTCCTCCTTAGAAAACTAGGTGTGATCCCAGGGTGGTAGGTTTTCATGAAGGTTTTACAAGACTGATGTAAATTTTGTGGTAATTGTAGGTATAATTGCTTGCATCAAAACCTTATGAGAAGATGTTTGCTTTTACAGTGCTAAATAATTAGACAAAGAAATCATTGTTGTCTTTTTGGTGCAAGTGCTGTTGAAATAACATCCCAAAAATCATAATGAGTGAAAAACTGTGGGAGACACAATATTGGGAAATACCAGGACTTATTTTTAGTCCCAAAAAGTAAGAAATATCTTTGCTATAGTTGGGCAGAACGCCTTTGACTACTTAAAAGTTGTGGTATTTGTTCCATTGAGCGATGCTAGAAGTTTCAGCGTTAGAATTCGGGAACAAAACTGTACCCTTTGCTCCTGTACAGATTCAAGTCCAGCATCCAGCTGCAAAATCAATGATCGAGATCAGCCGTACTCAGGATGAGGAAGTTGGAGATGGGACCACATCTGTAATTATCCTGGGTAAGGAGGGTGAATTAGACATGCTGTTTTCTAAAGGGTTAAGGCTGAAGTTCGCCCTTTTTGCTCATCAGGGCCCAATAAGCCTTAATGAGACAGATATTCGTTAATTACCAACACTAAAATTGATCCTTTTTTAATTTTTTGATCATTGAAGAGAATGCTGGGTTCATTAGATCCTTAGTGATCAGTCCTTGCTTTGGAAAGTTGTGTTCTT